GCAACAAGCTGAGGACATATTCCAGGAAGCTCAGATGTGTCTGGTTCACCTGGTACTCCTCAAGGGCATTCCCTGATAAAAATTCAGAATACAATAGCTATTGGCACATTTTAAAACAATTTTCCGTTACTCTGTCTTCTCTATGGATTATCCTCAACAAGCAAATATTGTCTTTTGGCTAGATTTCAGGTTGTCTGTTCTGCACCTTTTATTGGGTTTTGTTTGCCAGCAAATTATAGTTCTTTTGATGCTGGGAACACAGCTCAGTTTTACTCTATTTCTATAGTAAACAGGAACAAAACCAACAAAGCACTACTTTTCCTTTTCCAAGAGGCAAAGAAAGAAATGAGGTGTGAGCATCTGACTGCCTATGAAAGTATTCTGCTCTGACTCTTCATTTTTAAGATGCTTTCTCTCTGGGCCTTCATTGTCTCAACCTTATCATCCCAATACTATTACTTGTAATGCCTCTACAGGGCATTGTTATTGTGAAAGAAACTTATATATATATAGAAGGAGCATAAAGGAATATTTGTATATAAGGAGCATATATAAATATCTGTGTCTTGCTTCTGTGTAGGAAGCGGGTCAAACCTCCTGTTAGCTGCAAAGGTGCATGGAGAGTCTTGAAATAAGTCTTAAAAAACTTTAACTCCTTATTTAAAACATGACATATCTTTTTCATATTGGTGATTAATCTAGTTTTTTTTATCTTATTTTCTATTCACAAACTTTGGTACTCAACAGATCTGAGCTTCTAATAACAGCTAACCTTCAGTTTAGTTGATAAATCAGGCAATATCCTTGCTTCTAGGATGTTCCTTTCCATCAGCAATTGATAAAGTGTATATGGAGTTCCTCTTCTGGTCATCCTAGAAGGCTGTATTTTGGAGATACTTGGGGGTCAGATAGGGCACAGGGATAAATTTGAAGCAGTCAGTTGTGGTGGATTTTGGACTTGGCTCCCCTTTGTCCAACCTAAAGGCAAAATGCTGTCTGTCCTCTAAGAGACAAGTGCTGTGATATTGCCCATGGTTGTGTCATCGGGTTGCGTCAAGGCAGATTTATTTCAGCTAGAGGGCTGATTTTCACACCATCTTTCCCAGAATGGGTGCTATGAGACAGGACTTGTTCCTTTTCCAGACTTCAGAACTGTTGAACTTCCAAATATTGCCTCAGGGTGGTTTTGCAGGTCATTTTCACCAGAGCAGAGGTGAGAAGGATGCCCAAATGTTCCACTGTAGAATGTTTTGATTTCTCCAGTGGAGCCATCCACCTGTCAGTATATGACATTTTATCTCTATAGTGCTACAGAAGGGTTTAAACTAATTTGAGACCATTTTCTCAGGATAAAATATTGCCTATGTTCAGTGATATTTCCCTAAAGGGCTTTTAGGTTTCTTATTTATTCAGCTCTTGCTTTTGACATATGTTTATAGAAAATCACAGTCTTTTCTATTTGCAGAAGCATCAACAAAAAGGAAGGGACTGTTATTTTGTGTTTTGACACGTATTATGTCTTGACATGGTCAGCTCTGTGTTGTGTGTGCCCAGCACATCCACGCAGCATAACAGAAGCAAAACATTAGAAGATTTCACTGATAGGGACAGGGCTGTCAAACGTGATTCTGTGATCCTTTATGCTGTTACCCATGTGTGTCTGATCCCCCTCTGTGCCCCCAGATGCTGATGATGACATGCACCTTAACATAATACCGCCACCTGCTCGACCTGCAATACCTCATGTGAAACAGCACTATTTACCACTTCTTGGACACCCATCTCATTTATCTGGCTATGGCTTTACATTTCTCCAGCCCACCTGGAAATGAAGACCGATGCTGAACACTTCTGACACATCAGCTCTCACGCCCTTGAACACTGCTTTGATACCACAACTGTTAGGTGAAGAGTAATGACAACAGTCTTCAGAAGAGGTTCCTGCAAGGTCTGGTGCCACAGGTCTTGGGAAATTATCTGCAAACATGCCAACACACTGCCTGAACCACTTGTAATTTATCATATATTGCACTTGAAGGGCAACCCACTGTGCCAAAGTTTTCTTGGGTAGATGTTGAACACGGAGCTGAAGGCAGGGAAAGCTGAAGGCAGAGGGAGCTGGAGGCAGTGGGTCCCATGCAACTCCAGATGCAGCCAAGCCGCAGCCATGAAGCAGTCACTGGGGTACTGCTAGGGAGGGTTCTTCACCCCCAGTATCCCCACATGTCTCCTCTTCTGACAGGCTGGGAGGGCTGCAGCTCCTCAGCCCCCTCCCTAGTGAATCGATCTCAGCAGTTTAGGTGGTATAAGAAAGAGGAACGCAGATACTAATTCTCAGCACGCTTCCTTCTTGGAGCAGGCACTGGGGTTTCCTGGAGACACGAGCAAACACAAACCGACACCCGGTGGCCCCTCTGCCCAGCTGCTTCTGCTGCATCATGCTAGGGAGGCAAGTTTTGGGGATCTTTTGGATCTTTCTTTCATTTAAAGCCTTTAGCCTGCTCACAGGGGACAGGATTCTGGGCAGGTTAGCAGCACATGTCAGTGGTTTGCTTTCTGTTTTCTGGTCTGCCCAGCAAACCTGTGAACTGGCTGCAGGGAGACAGAATTTGGGTGGCCAGGATTAGGATTAGCTGAGGTTTGAAAAGACAGAGGGAGAGGAAACTATCAGTTTCAAGTAAGGCACATGGTCTGTGACTTTCTTGAGGCTTTTAGTTGCTGTTGTCAAAGGGGACAATTTGGCGCCATTGTGGTAGTAGGGTGGCATTTGTACAATTCTACAAGAAGCCCCAGTCTGCTGGTTTTGTTATTCTCTATACTTAGGAAACAAATAAACAAGAAAAAAAAAAAATTTTTTTTTTTTTTTTTTAATGAAGAAGCTTATATATAATACTGAGATTGCTTAAACATGTATTACACAACTAGCACCAGCTGAGACATTTGAATTCCAGAAACCCTTTATAATTGCTTTTCTTACAGAATCATAGCCAGGTGTATTATCAAACTTAATTTATGCATTCATAATTGGTGATGGAGTGCAAGTAATGCTGTGCGCACAGAGAGAAATGTGTTATGGCTATTTACACAGATTTCTCACTAGCAATGTTAGGAAATCATTCCCAGTTCCCCAGCCTGCTGGGTCTGGTGATGTTCATGGAGGCATAGGAGAGAAAGTTCAGGTTGACACAATGTCCTGCTCTCAGAACTGTCTAAATGGCTGAAAGCCCACCTGAAACTGTTGAACCCATCACTTGAATTATAGAATCCCAGACTGGTTTGGGTTGGAAGGGACCTTAAAGACCATCCAGTTCCAACCCCCTGCCACCTTCCGCGAGACCAGGTTGCTCCAAGCCCTGTCCAACCTGGCCTTGAACACTGACAGGGATGGGGCAGCCACAGCTTCTCTGGGCACCCTGTGCCAGGCCCTCAGCACCCTCACAGGGAAGAACTTCTGCCTAAAATCTCATCTCAATCTCCCCTCTGTCAGGTTAAAGCCATTCCCCCTTGTCCTGGCCCTACAAACGCTTGTCCAAAGCTGCTCTCCAGTTTTCCTTCAGCCCCTATGCACTGGAGGCTGCTCTAAGGTCTCCCTGGAGCCTTCGCTTCTCCAGATTGAACAAACCCAGCTTTCTCAGCCTGTCTTCAGAGCAGAACTGCCCCAGCCCTTGCAGCATCTCCATGGCCTCCTCCAGACTTGCTCCAACAGCTCCATGTCCCTCTTGCGTTGATTCCCCCAGAGCTGGATGCAGGACTGCAGGGGGAAGGGATGGGGAAGCCTTCTGCAGTATGGCGCTAAAGATGAACTTTGTGCCCCAGACAGTGGTGGGCAGAGGTGCAGAGTAGCTGGTACTTCCTGTCTGTGGCACAAACATCTCCGTGTGCTCTGTACATGTGAATACCCACATCTAGACTCTAAATGCTTAAAACTACAGAATCTCTCCTTTGTTGAGCCTTTTAGGTAATCCTTATTTCCAGGCTTATTTTAAAAGGCTTTCAAAGGTCTGATGACTCCTCTGAGCACATCTGTGTCTGCTGAGAGTGCCCACAATCAGAATAAGGAAGAGTCTGCCTCCACAACATCTCAAGAGATGCTCCCCAAGAAGAGCGGAAGGCCCTGGAAGGTGCCAGAGGAGAGGACTGAAGACAGACCTTTTGCAAGTGTTTTTCATGCAGTGCTGAAACTGTCATAGGCAGGTGATGGGGTGATTCTTTGCAGACGTGATTAAGTGATACAGCAAATAAGACCTGCAGTTGGGTTTCTTAGACCAGATGAGTTAAAACATTTGTAGACAGCATTCTCTTTAAGCTGAGGAACTGATATGCAGCCTCAGGTTACCAAAGCCAGCTAGTTAAGGTGCTTCCAAGTATTAATTGTTTTTCTAACTTTTGCGTTTGTAAATAGGGACTGAAACTGGTGAAGGAAAAAGGGAAAAATACCTACAATTACATAATTTTGTACTAGCTGAATCCATGTTCTGCACAACACTGCAGGCTGATTTCTCTCAAAAGACTTTCTATTTTAAAATGTTCTGCATGCATTTGGTAGCTCTGCTTTTAGATGGTTGGCATTCGTGCCATCAATTTGCTGTGGTGATAAAAATGTCAGGAAAATTACATCATTAATGTAAAAATTTTAGGTGTGATGGCCAGGCAGTAAAATGTCAGGTTTCAGCTGCAGTTCTGGAGATTTGATCCCAAGTCAAAACATAGGTTGAGATCAATCGCTGAAGGTTGTCTCCTGTCTTTAGGCACTGCAAGATGATTTAATGAAATGTGCTCTATGGGAAGTTCAGCCAGATGATTGCAGCAGCCCTCAGGGTTTTAAAACTTAAGGAAGTTACAGTAAGCAAGCCACAGGAAGAACTTCGAGCACCCAAGCTGCTGCTGGAGCACAGCTTTCAGTTTAATGTCAGAGATTGCTGGTAGCTCTCCCAGTATGATCCATTCTCCCAGAAAATTTCTTGCTGATTCTAGTGTCTCCTGCTGTTACATGATCTGCTCAATGATACTTGGTTGCACTCACTATTTTCAAGAACTCTAAACCCAGTTCTGCAAGGCATCCCAGTTTTTCTGGGTTTTATTCAGTATGGGAAGAGACAGCTCATGTTTCAATACAAAATAAAGTAAATAAAATTCAGGAGACAGATCTGAGCACAGAAGCTGGCTGAGGAAGCAGCTTGGTGAACTCCTTAGACCGTTGTCATTTCTTAGAAACCTCCTGCTCAACAAATGTTATCAAGGAATTGTTAACAAAGGCACCAGGATTGTTTATTTTATGACAGAAGCAATTAGGCAACACAGACAAATCATTATTGTGGGTACACTGCAAAACATTTATTACTGGTTTTAGCAAGGAACATGCCTGGAGTTAAACTCATCAAATACTTGCTCATCTGCTTCTTGAGAAACAACATAGAAATCCAGATGAATGACCCCAAAATCTCCACTCTCCTTACTCCAGGCTGACCAGAAGCCCCCAGGAGCATTGTGGTATGGGAGTGGGATGGAGGAGCTCAGATCTTTGGTCTTCTGCTGGTCCAACACATCTGTCAGCAGTACAGCTCTGTGAGATAAAAAGACACAAGTAACATCCAGATGCAGCACCAAAATTTCAGCTGCATTGTGCTACACATACAGTCCTGCATTTCATGTTACTTTGCTGTATTTTTTATTTTAGGAGGAATTGTATGCGTCTTTGTTATGTGTTGGTTATTTATAGGAGTGTCTATTGAACAGCTATTCTGTGCCTATTTGATAGTCTCATTTCTTTTCATGCAAGAGCCTTCATAATGATTTATTTGACTAGCAATAGAAATGAGGTAAGTTCTCTGTAATACATAAAATAAAAATAGGCTAATAATTCATGGATTTTTTATATATATAAAAATATTAAATATATCAAATTAAAAATAAACTCCTTTTTTTTTTCTTCCCTTGGCTTGCTCATAAATACAATTTTAAAAGAAGGGCCTTACATTCAGTATCTTGGACATACCTCACAATTTGTATTTACATTTATCTAGGTACAAAGATGGGTCACATAACTGATCATTTTATTCAGCTGGTTGCTTTGAGAACAACATCAATAAATTCAACTCATCATCTTACAATATTCACAGTGGTACAAAGGTTCAAAATTAGTACTACTTCTATTTCCTAGCCAGTGATCAGACATCATACTGTCACAGCAACTTCTATCAGGAGTGTAGCTTTCATTGCACCAAGTACGAGGCTGTGATGGAGAAGCGATAGGTAGCAAGTAGTTTCTGTAGAGTAATCATTACCTTTTTACAGTTACTTTTGCAATGATTCCCAAGCTACAGTCCTTCCCAGGGTAACCTCTGTTATCACACCATGGTTATGAAATGTGATGCTCCATATAGAAGAGTGTTTGTGTCAGTGAGCCAATTTCTGTGGCATCTGTTCTTCAACACGGAGGAAGACAGTTAGTAAGAGCTGAGTGGTTCACAGTGAAGTATTTATTACAAGTCTTTGCAGTCTGGTAATGTGTTTAGCCTCCCCCTGAGCTCCATGTGGTGGTTCTCACAGTAACTGCCGTCCTGTGCCACTGGGGTTCCTTCGCTCCCTGGAACTGGTTATGGTCCCTGTGCTGCCTGCACTGCTGTTTCTGAATGTCCTGGCCCAGCCTGCCTCAGGCTCTGCTCTGCTCATTGCTTGAAAAAGCTGGAGGTATTTTTCTGGAATAAGATCTCCAAAACTTTTGTGAGCTATGCCTCTGGCCAAGGATTGGCTTCCCATGCTGTGGGGAGAGCTGTGGAACCTGCAAAGATCCTGACTTCTCGTCAGGGACTAGCTCTTCATCAGGGAATGTAGCGATACGGCAAGGGGTAATGGGTTCAAACTTAAACAGGGAAAGTTCAGGTTAGATAAAAGGAAAAAGTGCTTTACTGTGAGGGTGGTGAGGCACTGGAATAGGTTACCCAGGGAAGTTGTGAATGCTCCATCCCTGGCAGTGTTCAAGGCCAGGTTGGACAGAGCCTTGGGAAACATGGCCTACTGTGAGGCCTCACTGCCCATGGCAGAGGGCTGGGACCTAGATGATCTTAAGGTCCTTTCCAACCTAAACCCTTCTATAATTCTATGATTTTCTTCTCATGCAGCTCCCCAAGAGAATTTGGAAGGCTTTGTCCAGATCTGTGTATACATACCTCTCGTGAAACCATTCTATGTGGCCAGATTTACTGTGTGTTTCAGACACTCCTTAAAACTGGTCATGGAATTTTCTAACACAGTTTGTGCACAGCTGATATGGTCCCTGGCTCTCAGGGAGGGTGGAAGAATTCTGCAGCTGAGGTATAATAAAGAAGAAAGAGGTGACTGTGACACTGCAGGAAGGACAGAGTGACCTACACCAAAAATACAAACTGCTCTACCCCCAGCAGGCAGGAATTTTGAGGACATGGAGTCACTGGCAAACTGCCTGTGAGTGGCTATAGAAATTCTTCCTTGGATATGGATTTCCAAATGCCAAACAGAAATAAATTATTTATGCAATGTATGAATTAACTCAGTCATGCAACAGCTTGGGTTGGGCAGGAGCTATTTTTCAGCTCTGACGAACATCCCTATTTTCTCAGGCCTGTCCTTCCATCAGTGAGCATTGTGCAGTGCAGGACTCATTTCTGGCATTAGCACTGTGCAGGGGTGGTGGAGGTAACTGGTCAGGGAGGGAGAGACATGCTGGTGAGAAAGTCCCTATGCTGGCAATGGCAGCAGTATCCTCGAACAATGTGAAAAAAAAAATATCCCATGTCTAGGTCTGAGATACGTTTTCTCTTATGCCCCTGTCAGCAGATCAACCAGGAAAAGTCCAGCCTCTCCATAAGTCATTTCCTTGCCGGCTCTCTGCATCAAAAGGAGCATGACCAGCAGGTCCAAGGAGGTGATCCTGCCCCTCTACTCTGCTCTTGTGGGACCTCACCTGAAGTATTGTGTGCAGTTCTGGTGTCCTCAGCATAAAAAGGACATGGAACTGTTGGAACAAGTCCAGAGGAGGGCCACGAGGATGATCAGGGGACTGGAGCACCTCCCGTATGAAGATAGGGTGAGAAAGTTGTGGCTATTCAGCCTGGAGAAGAGAAGGCTGTGTGGAGACCTCATAGCAGCCTTCCAGTGTCTGAAGGGGGCCTATAGGGATGCTAGAGAGGGACTCTTCATTAGAGACTGTAGTGATAGGACAAGGGGTAACAGGTTAAAACTTTAACAGGGGAAGTGTAGATTGGATATAAGAAGGAAATTCTTTCCTGTTAGGGTGGTGAGGCACTGGAATGGGGTGCCCAGGGAGGTTGTGAATGCTCCATCCCTGGCAGTGTTCAAGGCCAGGTTGGACGAGGCCTTGGGTGATACGATTTAGCATAAGGTGTCCCTGCCCACGGCAGGGGGGTTGGAACTAGATGATCTTAAGGTTCTTTCCAATCCTAACTATTCTATGATTCTATGATTCTGTGATATGAAGATGTATTTGAATCTTCAAAGAACAGTCAAGAAAAGTCTGTTAGGAAATGCTCATAGTCTGTCAGAACAATTAAGTTATTTGCTAGGAGCCAAAGGCCCCTCTTTTTTCTGACTAAAGCACTCTCAGTAGTACCAAAAATAAACAAAAAAATCCAGGAAATACAGCATTTGCCCCTTTTGAATCTATTTTTTTTTTTCCTATCTGCAGTCTCCCTTCATTGCTGCTCATCTGCTTTTCGACAAAAGTGAAGTTGCTCTTCTTTTAATGACTTTTTAATTCCTTTGGAATTTCAAACAGATGATTGGATGGAAACTTTAGTGCTCAAAGTTTTGAATTTCCAGCAAGTTTAGAGTGGTCAGCGGCCAGAGGTCCTGTACAGCTGCAGAGAAGTGTCACTGCTGATCTTCAATGTGAAGTGATTGATGGTCATTTAATTTTATTTCATCTTATTTGTTTGGTCTTGTGGCACACAGAAATGCAAAAGCTCCACAGCTTGGAGCTACCCCAGGCATGCTGGCTCTGGACCGGTGGAGTGGATTTGCAGACTGTGTTACTGGGGAGGAAGGAAGGGAAGGTCCCAGCCAGTGTGGGGCAACTGAAGGCATTCCAGCTGGAGGAATGGGAAGGTCATGGGAAACAGAGAAACTCTTCCCACCTCCCATCCTGCTCATCTCTGCTACCCTCAGCCTTCAGACCCAGACTGTAGGTCTGATACAACTAATCCTGCTTCCCCACTTGATTTTCTTCTTTCAATTGCATGCTTTCTCTTGCACATCCCATGAGCACCTGAGCTCAGGATTTGGGATGTCTTCTGATACAGCTAGTTCCTCCTGGCCCTTTAAACCTCAGTCTTGTGGGAGCAGCATATTCAGGGAGCTCTTATTCAATCAGCTTCTCTAATTTTCTAGCAGTTTCTCTCTTTTCTGGATACTTTAAGGCCATTAATGTGTATCCTTTAGCACTTCAGCTGGAGAATAGAGCATCTCATCTATGTTGACCACAGGAGATGTCTCTGCCTGTAGAAAGCATCCTGACATGGAAGAAGCAACTGGCGTAAAGTACTTTATAATGTGTGAAGTCCTTGGAATCTGAAAAATTTCTTGGATTCTCCACTCAATGATTAATGAGTGATAGTAGTAATTGAGGTACTTAGAGCAGTTAGCCTCTGCACATACTCAGCATTTTGAAGGAGGTCATCAATAAATTAAAGTGGTTTGGACTTCCTAAATTTATGTTAGCTCTACTAAAGCCAAACAAAACAAAACCTAAAATTTTCATTAAATTTGAAGGCCAGCAAGATAGCAGAGGTTAATTCTGTAAATGGTGGATCAAAATCTTTGAGAAATCTTCCAGTGTGGACTGACAATCATCAAGTGAGTTTTATCACATGGATTATATGCATGAGCCTTCAAACTGACACAAGATGACAGCAGGTAGAGGGTGACGAGTCCCAGTGTTGTAATGAAGAGGAAGATATGTATGGGAGCTGACACAAGGTAGCCATCTCCTGTGCTCCCCAAAGTTCGCATTTAGAGGTGCACCCCAAGCTGATGACAGCTTGCTCAGAGTCTGGCTGGCTTCTGGGATCTTCCAGGCCAGTGACAGGCATCCTGGAGGCTCCAGCCCTTCACAAGGGGCTTGAGACAGTCATCGTAACAACAGAACTTTTCATTGGCTTGGTGAGTAGCTTCTGGTTTCCAGGGTTTTTTGTTTTGTTGTTTTTTTTTTTTTAATTCATTGCCTCTTTAGCTCTCCTCCATGTGCTATGTGGATACAAGAATAGGACTGGGTGGCTAGGGGTGGAGAAAAGGAGCAGAAGAAAGAGCAGGAGAGAGGGATGGGAGAACAACACCCATTCTAATAGTCACAGGAATCACTGGACCTGCTTGGCTACCAGTGAAGGGTCTGAGGAGAATTCCCTGAGACAACACAGGAGGAAACTGACTGCAAGGCAGATGAAAATGCAGAGTCAAAGGGGAATAACACTTCAGACATCAGATATTTAAGTTCTTTGCAACTTTTTAGCAGGGCTCAGGCTCAAATCAAGCCATCACTTTTGCACTGCTGCGCACCAGTGGAGCCATAGTGCATGTGGCTGGCTACATGCAGAGAAAATGCAATGTGGGAAGACTCATCTCTGACTTACTTAAGAGTGCCTTGAGTTAAGGTGTCCTGTTCCACGTGTACTATGGTCTGCAGTCATGGTATTGGACAACCCAGGCAAGACTGTGTAACTTGAGCCTATGCCTTGAGACTGACTATAGAGCATAAACTTTACAAAAGCGGACTCCAGTGGACTTACATACTCATACAACCATTTCCTCTGATCTTTTTTTTTCTTTTTGGTTGTTTTTTTTTTGTTGTTTCATTTTGTTTAATTTTTTTTTTAAGTTGGTTTACAAGAAACAAGATGCTTTTGAAAACTGAAGGGGCAAAAAAATCCTGAAGGAGAAAAGGAAAAGATTGTGGACACACTTCATTTTCAGCCAGTGACTTGTGGTGTCACAAGCAGAAGAGAGCTCACACAGCCTCAGCTGGTCATTTTGATACTTAAAGTTTTTACCAAAAAAAAATTGATGTTGTGTGTTCAAATCCTATCAGTACTTCATGGCTGCCAAATTACGTTTATTTTAAAGCCTTAATTGCTCAGACAAATGTAATGTGGCTCCTGCTACACACAGACATAAGCCAGCTGCAGAACATCATTGCAGCCCATACAGCTGTAAATTTGTTGCAGTGTCCTTCGGCACACTTCAGTCATTAAACTGTCATCTTTATGTTTTGTGTATTGATTGAGTAGGGTAGCTGAATTCTCTTCACTTTTCTTGTTTAAAAATTATTTTTACAATCAGGACTTTTATTTTTAGCAGTCTAAAAGCAGAAATCAAGAGAAAATGTGTATGACATCTTTCTCAAATGACTGAATATTTTTCTTCATCATTAAGCTACAGGGTTTAGCTAAACTGCCTGATGGAAGAGTATACCGTATAGGATTGAGAGCATAAAAATATGCCGTTCAGACTAAACTAAAACATAAAACAAGCTTCATTTTCTGGATAACATACAAAACCAAAGTTCTGCAGTAACTGAATCTCAGTCTTTTTACAAAAAAGTAAACAGTTACTCTAGCTTCCCTCAAACTCCAGATTGTGCCTATCTAAATTGAGCTTTATTTTGTACCTGCCAGTTTCAGATCCTTGCAACATCCTATCTCCCTTCGGTATTTATACACAGTTTCAGTGAGCATATTTGAGCTCCTGGATCAGTCCCCTGGGTTTCAGCAGGCAGATTAAGAGGGGGTAGCTGTAAGAAAACAGGATTTCAGACTTCTTTTAAGAGAGCAGGTATAAATAATACAAATCAAAAACAAACACAAGTGTAGCTGTACTTAGTATGAGCTCTCCTTCTGCCTGCTCTCAGCTGTGGTGTGGTCTGCATGAGCACCACCATATCCACTGGGGTGTTTTGGAAAGTGGTCACTGGTTGTGTTTGTATTTCTTTTTTTTTTTAAATTACAATAGGAAGAGCTTAAAATGAGGATTGCAGTGATGGCATTCTGTGGAAATACCTCAAAGCCTTTGAAAACAAGCTCTGGTCCTTAAGCTGTATGGGTTTGCCCAACAGCTGCAAAAATGCCATTTCATGTCCAAAGCCATTAATGGGGGCAATGCCCAAATGATAGCCCTGCGTGCAGAGGTTGTTATGGCTTGTGGCATCCAGGGATGAATAAGCAATGCACAGAAGCATCAAAGCCCCTGGTACAAGAGGCAATCTGGACAGACAGGGCTGTCCACTGCTCTTACTGTGGACAGGAGATAGCCAACAGTCCCACCCCTTGGTTTTGCTTGCCATGAGTGGTGTGACACTGGGGTTTTTGATGTCCAAAGGAGAGACTCTTCCCCTCCTCCTTGTCCCAGTGACAGGGCTCACCTGCTGGAGCAGCAGTTATCCAGCCAGGAACAGACCACGGCTTTCCTCCTCCATCAGGCTTTCCAAACCAAAGATGACATCATTGCTTACCTCCAGTGAAGCAAAGGTTATCAGCATGGGGAGACTGCTGCCTGGCATCTGCTGGAAAACCACATCCAGACCATTACAAGCATTGTTAAAAAGCTCAGCCAGGACATTGAGGTAACACATGCTGAGGAACATTTCCCTGTTTTAGTGGTGCAGCTCTAGTTTGTGGTCCATTCAGCACTAATATTGGCTTCAGGAGCAGAAGAGTGCTCAACATGACTGCTGTGTTTTAGTTAAATTCTGAGTTTTCTTGTATAGTTACCTGTGAAAACAGAGGCGACAAGGGGAAGTAAAGTAAAAACGTGTAACATCAATAATCGAGTTTGAGCTTACTTCTTAGTTTTTCCTGTTGAAGATATTCTACTACTTTATGTAAACTTCTTCATCAAACATAATCAAATATTGCTGAAACTTTTCACAAAGTTCAGTGCAGACTGAAATGAATGTTCAGGTTAACATTATATTTAAACTGACTGATGGATCTGTGCTGGAAGTGCATGGGATGCCCTTTTTCTGGTTGAAGACCTCTGATTATTTGATGTTGCTTATTAAATTTGTATGTGAAATTTACCAATACTTTTTCATGGCAAAGATGTAAAATACCAAAATGTCATGAAATAGACTTCTCCAGAGATTTGTTTTGTCCTTTATAGTGTTAAATGTCTTAAAAATATCACTTAAAATCACAATACATTCTGGTTTTCATATGCTTGGAGAAATATTTGACCTTCTGTACATCTATCTTCAGAAGTATGCAATCATGGCTCACCTAAAGTTAATCTGAATTTAAACAAGGGTCTATGTACATTTCATACTGATTTTATTTTCAGTATTTTGATACTATGGCAATAAGCAATGCTATAAAACTGCTTACTTGTTTTAGACCATCCAGTTCCTCTAACTCTATCCAGATCAAGCATGTACAAGACTGTTTTGCTGGAAAAATACCTCATATGCTATCTAAACATAATCTTTTCCCTTAGCTGTAAATTACTTTTCTCTGGGCCCTAATCTCAGGTGTGTGCTTGCTTTGTAGATTTCAGTTGTGAAGATTCAGTCAAGGTAGATCACTGACAGCACAGAAAACAGCACAGTGAGACATGTCAATCAAAGCCTCTATAGAATTAGTGGGGGTTTGAAGAATTGCGCCTGGCATACAGGAAATGAGAGTGGCTCAGCAATGTCGATTTCTCAAGCACTTAAAAAAGAAACGATCCACCAGGAAATGTGACTCACTTGTACTTCAGACCTTCCCCAGAGCAGAAATATCCCTGAAAAAAAAACCTGTCTTGGGGAAGATGCTGGGGTGTCATTGCCACCCAGAATGAAGCTGAGCCCGAGTTAAACACAGCCCTCTGCTAGAGCCAGAAAATTATCCTGGCTGCTGCTGCACCTGGGGTGTCAACGCAATTAGTGCCAGGTGGGAAATGACCTGACCCTTGACAAAGACAACCTTCATGATCCCAGGAAAGAGTTGCAAATTGCAAGAGAAAACCATCAGTACTAAAACCCCAGAGGCAGAGGGAGGTGTTCTTGGCATCACCTCAGATAACAACCCTACAGGATGGGCAGAGAATGGGTTGAGTGCGGTCCTGAGGAAAAGGTCTTGAGGGTGTTGGTCAATGAGAAGCTCCCCATGATCCAGCTTCAGTGTGCACTTGAGCCCAGAAACCCCCATGTGCTGGGCTGCATCCGCCAACAACATAAGAGGGACATGGAGCTGTTGGAGCAAGTCTGGAGGAGGCCACGGAGGTGCTGTGAGGGCTGGAGCAGCTCTGCTCTGGAGACAGGCTGAGAGAGCTGGGCTGGTGCAGCCTGGAGAAGAGAAGGCTCCTTAAGGGGGGACCTTAGAGCAGCTCCAGTGCCTAAAGGGGCTACAAGAAGGGGAGAGGGAGAGGGGCTTTGGACAAGGGCCTGCAGGGCCAGGACATGGGGGAATGGCTTCAACCTGACAGAGGGGAAACTGAGATGAGGTCTTAGACAGAAGTTCTTCCCTGTGAGGGTGCTGAGGCCCTGGCAGTGCCTGGGAGTGTTCACAGGAGCCTGGGAAACTTGCTGGAGAAGGAGAATATTGATCTCCCACGATAAACAGTGGGCTGCTGCTTTCTGTCCTCATGAGTGAGTGTCTCATGCTGATTTTGCCACTGAGGAAGCGGTGGTCCTGTTTTGTGCCTCTGCGTCATGGACTTGCATCATCAGACTTGAACCACCAAATACACTGAGAAAAACACTGGGGTACTATAGTACATTCAGCTTTTTGAGAACATTATTTTCTGATGCAGAACACAAATAGTAATGCCTGGAATACTCAGTATTTCAGTTATCCATACTCTATATATGGGGGGAAGGAGGGGAGGCCAGGATTATTCAGGAATAACTGAATAAATGACAGATTTAAGTTGCATTTTACTCCAGAGTTACTTCAGCTCTGTCCACTCACCCCTGCCTAATTTTGATCATTCCGTAGTTAATCTCCCTTTGCTGTCTCCAGCAAAGAGACTTCCAACAGGAAAGTGATGCTGCATGGGACTCGGTGTTACGGGTATGTCCCTGTGCCACCACACCCGCCCTGCTTGCAACCAGCCAGGAAACACATTAACCCTGGCTCTGTTTGCAGAGGCATGTTCAGATACATAAGCTCGGGGCATCGTCACAACCCTGCTGACACCCAGCAGGACTGTCCTGTGTCCTCTGGCAGCTCCAGCAGTGGGATGAGCTGGGCAAACACAACTGCAACAGCCATCCTGAAATTTAAGCATATACAGTTGAAGTTTCCCCTGATATTTTTCCTTTTCTGTTTTTTTCTTTTTTTTTAATTCACTTAGTGGAGAGCATTTTAAATAAAAAGTCAATAAAAGCCACTCCTTTTTTGTGTAAATAGGATATTTGCAAGAAAAAGTGTAAAAGCTGTGCTTTGACCACATGAAGTGCTCTGTAGTGCTGAATTACAGTGAAATATCACCCCAAGGGCTTTCCTTTCTACCTGAAAAATAAAATCAGGAGATCATTCTCCTGATCACATACCTGCAAAAGGTTACAGGGCATAAGGGCTTCCTAATGTTAATGCTTGTGACACATTCAGATATCATCAGGATGAGCCACTTCAGAAGAGTCTGATCTTTCAATATTGTGCAATATATGAGGTATCAGGCCCCATACTGAACAATAAGGGTAAAAGAAGACATTAAAGAGCTGTGTATACTGACCTGCATCCTTATTCAGAGTTGGGTGAGTATATCCATAATATGCTTTAACAGTGGGACCTGCTGATATAAATGGTGCTTTGAACCTTATTTTTAAATGAAAGAAGAACCAAAAACCCCAAACAAAAGCAACAAACCAACAAAGCCAAAAGAAAGCCAAAAGTGCATTAATGGAATTGAATTTACAGGTTTTGAAGTTGCAAATCAGAACAAGGGATGGTGCTGCAGCAGAAACTAATTTTGCAGTTCAAACTCTGGACCATAAATACAACCAGTGTCTTGGAGACCTGCGTGGAAGAGTGGCAAGGTAAGGAATTCATCATGGCCCTGATTTTCATCTCCACTAGTCAACTTGTGCAGAGCAGATTCAGAGTGGGCATAAATGTACTTCACACTCATTTTGTATCTCCATTTTAGTGCCAGATCTGTGCTTTCATGCTCTCTGTGTTAGAAACATTACAAAACCAGGGAAAAATAACTATATTTTCTTCTTCATCACATGCTTAACATTTTGGGGATTTTTTTCTTCTTCAGTCTGGCTAGACTTCAGCTGAAGTGGTTATTACCTCCTACTTAAACTCTCCTGTTGTTTCAATAAAACCTCCTATCTTGGAAAGCAGGCCTTGTTGAGCAAATCTGATTTCTCCTTTTTGTTGGGATTTTAAGTTTTTACTGGTGCAAGTAGTTGCATGTATGTATCATAGGTGGACTTCCATGTGGCATTCTGTAACACATAATATTATGATCAAAAGAAAGACATAACTGAAATTCTGCTATATAATATCAAGAGAATACATGAATTAAGAACTGTCTGAACTAACAGATGGGGAAAAGTAACCATTAAGGAAGAAACCTCCCTGAACTGGCATATTTCTAATAATTTCTTTCTTCCAGAAGCCAGTCATATGCTTGTTATATAAAACACTGCTACTGGCATTTGTGGGTAAGACAAAACTGGTCAAGTGAGGACAAGATGGTAACAGAGACTAACCAGGAATGTTGGTAATGTGGCCTGACTGAGGAAAAAATGTACTTTATAAACCCAACAAGAGACTGTTTCACAACTGAGTGCCCCCTGAAAAGTTTGGGGAACTTAACATGAGCTCTTACAGTAGTGTGGCATCAGAAATGCCAGGAGTATGGTCTTGGATGAGAGAAGCAGAGAACCAGTAAACAGGGAGGCTGTTTTAGCTCTATGTGTGGCACACATATTGATACCAGAAAACTGCTCTGATCTAGAGTCCCCTTATTGAAATTAAGAATTTGATACTGTATAAAAAGAGAGCCAGGAATGTGGTGGTGGGATGGGGAAAATTTCTGGCTGAGGGAAGTATACATCTATGTATAGTTTATAGAAAAAAAATAAATAAATCCAGAGATGTCTTCATTTCCATGTGTAACTACCAAAAAAGAAAGAAAGAAAAAAAAAAAATCACAGGATACTGAAAGACTCCAGACTACTGCAGAGAGACCCGAGTATAAAACAAGAAGACGAAGCCAACGCATTCAAAGTTGGCAGGAAAAAGGTGGTGTTTTTTAACCTTGTGGCTGATTAGCATTGGAACAAAGTAGCAGGTGATTCTGCAAGAGTCTTCTGTTTCTGTTTTCAAATTCAGGTCAGCAGACACTCTAGACAATATGCTTTTAAAAGCCATAACATTCCATCTCATTCCTCTTTCCCCAGTCTTTTCCTAGGAGTGAATACTTCCCTTTGTCAGATGGGATTTGCTCCCATTATCTATTCTTGAGCATTTGCCTACAGTAGAGGAAAGCAAAAGCATTTGGGGAAAGCAGGAAAACAGGATAATTCTGGGGAAAAAAATTACCAGTCCGCTTCTACTTGCAAAACTAAAAACGAAATAAATAGAAGAAACAAGAGGTTGAGGACTCCTGGAGGTCCATGGCAACACTTTTATGAGGTCCCTCTTCCCCTTCTTTCCATGACCATTTTTGCAGTGTGTTGGTTGGCCTTTCCCACAGGAAGAAGCGAGGAGCGCAAAATACATATTGCATGTAAAAACTGTAATGAGGACATCAAAGTAATCATCTTATGATGCTGGAAACTGAGTTGTTAGACCCCATTTAGTTTTAACGTTAGGGAAAGGAAAATGACAGGTTTTCTAGCTTCACCAGAAACTATGGATATTAAAGAATGATGTTTTAGCAGCAGGTCTAGCTATATTGTAATGCAGTTTTACGTGAATGGTTCCCATTAAGCTAAAGTGTGGTATAGTTTTATGGGAGTCATGAATCATCAGCAGTCTCTTGTTTTAATTGCTGCTGAAGTTGCCCTCTGGAAATGCCAAGCCTCCATGGCATACCTGCCCCCAGCATCACAGCAGAGGAGTGACCCAGAACTGACAGGGGACTGACATTACAGTGATGATTAATATTTTGGTTTTTCATGTTTCTTTGCTCTTGAGGTTCAGGATTTAAAATTGCTATGTATATTAAGTAGAGTTCAGAGTGGCCAGAGACAAATGCACATGTTCATATAACTTATATCTGTTGCATTAATAGAAAACTTCTAAATGCAAACTTGCAGTGACAGCTTTCTTCTTGATTTGTAGGCTAACCTTAATCCAAAACTATTTGGGATGAAATGAAGCCACTGCTCTTTCTCAAAGCGGATGATTCATCCTCCTGTATTCTGCCGTGTGTAAAGGATTAAAGTGGATTAGCTCTTGAAATTCAAATTGTGCCTATTTTCTTATTCTATGTTTCCCTGAAAGATAGATTTAGATCTCTTGCCAGCCACTGATGTAGTTGTCCATTAATGCTGGGACTTATATTTCTACACCATGTAAAACATGCAAGTGCCAAGTAGTAGTGATCTTTGAAAAAAAAAGCCACCATGCTTCAGCATCTCAGCTATAGTGGTATTCCCATTGGATTAACTATACATTTTATTTGTATTCTAGCCTTAATAAGACTTCATTTGGGCATGGGAATATGTATTATAAGAATTAGGTAATCAACTGTAAATAAAACCATTCTTCTGATAAACATTAATTCACTCTCTTCAGCCTCACCGACAAAAGAAAAAACGAATGCACAAATAAATGAACAGTGCACTGTATGCAGATGCTTACTTTGTACTTCTGTACTTATTTTTTTCATTAGCATTTTTGTTGTTCGGAGAAAAAGTCCAACACAGATTTAGACAATAAAAAGCCCTGATGTGTACTTGTGAAGTTACTAAATCCTTCATAAATGCTAATTGGCAAGTGCAGCAGTTCAGTATGTACTGTTCCTTCCATGACTTTGGAGTATAAAGCTCTTTGAACATATAGCATTATTCCCATATTTAATTAAATGGTTTGATATAACCATCAGAGGCTTGTATTTCTTTATACTTTTTAATTTAAAATCAAATCTAGGAGCATGCTTTCTATATCGTTCCCAGTTCATCTGCACTGCTTCTTGCACGCTCTCGTGGCTTGTTTTGTATGACTAGAAAACCATGATCTCACTGCAAGCTGTGAATGTCTCCTAAGTGAAAATTAAATTAGAGCAAGATTTAAGCAACTCCCAAGTATCCTTGTTCTCTTCCACACTCAATCTTCTGAACAGCAATAATGCATTTAACTGCTTTGCCATAACAACGATATAAATGATATGTAGGGAAAATGAGATCTGAGCAGGCCCGGAGACTTAAGGCACATCAACGGTTCTGAGAGTCTTTGTGAAACTTGTTATGTCTGCGAAATCCCCAGGCAGGCCTCTGGTCCCTCAGGTCAGAATTATGACCCCTCCGGTCATAATGCAGAAGTGGTTGCATTTATCCCATGCTGCAAATCTAATTCTTGAGCTCTTTGGGTCCTGTCTTCAAATCCTTTATTTTTAAGGATTCTCAGCAGAGAATATTCATGTTTCTTTCTCTTGTAACTGAAGTTACATATTCTTACTGCTACAGATCCATTAATATTCTTCTTTCTCACTGTGCACTTCTTGCAAAGCCTTGCCAGTGCCGTCTTGGGGTGGGATTTTCCTGTTGATGTGGACAACGCAGACACGATCAATGTGATCAAGCAATTGCCATTTATTGAGCATCAGACATGATCTTTTATACACAAATCCACCCATTGATTATACACTGATTGGTTAACATGCCTTGCCAACAAGCTTCTGATTGGGCTTTACACAAAGTTGCTTAATACAAGTTACAACAGCTACTTATGTTTAGCACTAACCTCAACATTCTTACACTGCAGTTTTACATCCTGTTTTTTGTTCTTGCAAATTCATTTCCCCCACTGCTATTCCTGGCTAGCCTCCCCTCTGGCCTAGTATTTTTCCACTTACAGAGAAGCTCTACTTATGCTAACTGAGAAGCCCAACTCATGCTAACTAAATCCATACAACATTTTCCTAAGGGAGTGGTGAGCCCCAGTTACCTGGCCAGTCACTAACCTTGCATTCAACCTCAGTAGCCTTGTTTTGTTTGTACCTGTGTTCCACAACACTCCTACCTCAGAGGCACCTTTCATCCCCAGGACTGTGGGATGCAGCCTCTCCTCGCCAGTTCTTGTATTGATTCCTATATCTGTAGCCAGAAAAGCTGTGATGACAGCCTGCTCCCCCTCCAGATCCACATTCACCTTGGCAGCTATTTTGTACTTGCTTTTCCAAATCTATGGTTTCTTTTGATCACAGTTCTGGCCTTTCTACAAAGCCTTTATTATTTGCAGTAACTTCTTTTTATTTCCTTGATCTGCATGCTTTGTAGGTGTATCACAATATCTAAGCATCGTCAGGAGATGACAAAAAGCTCTCTACTTAAACTGTCAAAATTTCTCTTTAGATCCTTTATCTGTTAACAGCACCAGCTTTATTCAGTTGTGGTGCTTTGGATGATAATTTCTCTGGCATTTTAAAAATTAGCTGTTTTCCTCACTCAACTTCTATTCAGTTATTTATGTTAAATCGTGCACTACTTTGTGGCCTAAAGGTGTTATTTTCCACACTCGTGTACTGCTGACACTGGAACAGTCAGTTACTTCTGTGATAACAGCATGAAGGAGGGTAGCAGGAGGGGAGTTCTGTTCTGCCCACAGCAGGAGGGTTGGAAACAGATGATCTTAAGATCCTTTTCAACCCTAACCATTTTTTGATTCTATGTGAATTATATGAATAGTGTCATATATATATTTACAAACACTGAAGAAACTCTTATTGCTTGTATTTTAAAAGTATGTATTTTTTAATATATGTGTATATATATGTATATACTATGCATACACAATGTGTGTGTGTGTATATACACATGAAAGACAGGCTGAAACAGTTGTTCAATCTACCAGGAATGTTAGCTGGTTGAATATTATTCAATCCCTAGGCTATTCCGTTAGTGCTGCCACTCTCAAATTGTTCATTCGTCCATTTAAAATGTGACTAGGTAACTTGGTGAGTGCAACTGTTTAAACAGCCAATAACAGTAGTTCAGATAGGAAATGGCTGCTGCAGAGGGAAATTGCCTGTGGCTGGCTCTTGCTTCCTTGCCATCACTTCCAGCAGTGTTTTAATGCACAGTAATGTCTGGAAGTAGATTGGGGATCAGAGTGGTTGCAATGGGTACTCTATTTTGCCACTTGCCAGAGTGCCCTGGGGGGCTGAATTTGGTCCAGCAACAGTGCATAGAGACTAGCGTTTGCCTCCAGCCACCCTCCAACATCCCCTGGCAAAGGCTCTTGTCTCTGGTTTGACTGCAGATGCGAGGCAAGCATCACGAAGCTGTCGGGAGACATCAGTTTTATCAGGCATGAGGCCCAAAAGACTGATAAAGAGATCTATGGCCTTCATTCTACCCTCAAAAATTGTGTTGCTGGTTTTGAAAAGAAGGTGAGTAGAGAAGCCACAGTTAAACACCTGGCAGGTGGTGACTATGCACGTACAGATATAGTTTCTTTTTGTAATTACTGACCAATATTAAAGACTGATATGGGATCTAAACAATATTTCAGGATTTTTTTACTTAAAAAAAAAGTTTTCCATGATACTGTGGAATCATAGAATGTTTGAATATTTTGGGTTGGGAGGGACCTTAAAGTTCATCCAGTTCCAACCCACTGCCACGGGCAGGGACACCTTCCACTAGACCAGGTTGCTCCAAGCCCCATCCAACCTGGCCTTGGACACTGCCAGGGATGGGGCAGCCGCATCTTCTCTGGGCAACCTGTGCCAGGGCCTCACCACCCACACAGGGAAGAACTTCTGCAGAGCTCATCTCAATCTCCCCTCTGTCAGGTTAAAGCCATTCCCCCTTGTCCTGGCCCTACAGGCCCTTGTCCAAAGCTCAGCTCCAGCTTTCTTGTAGCCCCTTCAGGCACTTGAACTGCTCTAAGGTCTCCTGGAACCTTCTCTTCTCCAGGCTGAACCAGCCCAGCTCTCTCACCCTGTCTTCAGAACAGAGCTGCTCCAACCCTTGCGACATCTCCATGGCCTCCTCTGGACTCACTCCAACAGCTCCATGTCCCTCTTGTGTTGTTGCCCCAGAGCTGGATGCAGGACTGCAGGAGGGTTCTCCCCAGAGATATGCCAGGATTGAGCAGATATGGTACATTCAATTTCTCATGCGCTTTGGTATTGAATATAATTTCATTACCATATTTTGTCTGCATCTTCTGCTGCACAAGGCACAGTGCCAGTCATTGTGTACGTTGCCTAACCATGGTCCTCCTCTCCAAGGAAAAATTACTCATGACAGAATTCAAACAAAGATATCTTACCTGGAATTCTGTCAAAAGACACTGTTTGGACAGCTGTCTCCTTGAGCACCTTTAAAAAATGTTCTTTTTCACCTGGAACCATGGAAAGGACCTCGTGTGTGTGTCAGAATAGCATTAAGCAGTACCCAAAATCATGTGGGAGAGAATCAGATACCTGGGATATCCCACAGCCTAGAGAGCACAGGGCTGCACAGAACTGGGGATGCAAGCCCCAGCCTGGACATGGAGATGTCCTCCCCTGAAGGAGGGAGATGCTCTGAACACGGTCCACCAGGTACCATCTTATTATTGAAGCATGTGTTATTGTGGATGGGCCTCTCCTCTCTTCACTCTTCTTGGGGTCCTACTAGGTGTTGGACAGACACATCTTTGCAACACACACACAATTCCAAGGATTTACTCTGTGTTTTTTCCACCACTGGGAAGGTTTGAGTGATGCCTCTGTCCAAATTAAAAGAACATTGCTTTCCTGTGCATGTAATTGCAAAACCTGCATCCACAGACTTTGACTTCAGCAGGTCATACAGCCTTGGTGACTCTGAGCTCAAGTCTTCAGTTTGTAGTGAATTAAATGGTGAGAAAAATTTGGGGCTTATGTAGTTGTGTCTTGATGTTACCTGTTTTTTCCATGCTTGCAATCGTAACACATGTTTAAATGTTAGTGCTCATAGTCTGGCTCATAAGGGCTTTCTGTTGAATTCTCATTAGGTAATGCAGCTATTAGGGAAGATAGAGACTTCCAGCTCTGATCAAAGCTCAAATTTAAAGACAGTCCAGGGAGATCAACATCACAAACTGCAACTTCTGGATTTCAAGTAGGTGATAGAGGGTTTCTCATTATGATAATTCACCCTGAATGTGTTAGTGTGATGAACAGGTTGCCAAGAAACAGTAAAACAAACACTTTAATTAATACCCACTCAAAACCTAGAAACACTAAAAGAAGATTGATGAAGATCAATGCCATAAAATAGCAAAAATACATAATGAATGTATATTGTCTTGCAAGCTAATTTTTGAAATGAGGCACTAAATGACATCCTGGAAGAAGAAAGGTATGAAAACAGCTTTCTACACTTAGAAGAAAGGTAGCAAATACAAAGGCACTGATTACCATTATAACTGGGTCTAATTTGTGACTTGCCTAACGTGCAGAATGTTTTCTTTATGCACTTGCACTCTAAGACAACTGCCCAGGGCAGGGGTGCTGCTAATGAAGAAAGGTGGGTGCAAGGCTAAAGCAGTTATACAGGCTCATGTGCCCATAGATTTGTGATTTCTTGTTTACCTAGCTTATTTTTCCTATTCCAGAAGTATTTTTAGGGTGCCATTGTAATCTTGATGAGTTTTAGAGAGGATGGAACTCCAGGGAAGTATCCAATGAACAGAAGTATCTGGCATCCATGTTCAGAACAATGCAAAACAGCCCAACACTGAATAGCAGAGACAGCACAAATAATTTCAAATCTAATTATAATTATCCTGCATTAATGATATTTCAAAAGCAAGAGTTCCACTCCTTAAAATGGTGAGGTATTTGAATAAAGATTTATTTAAATAAAGATTTTATCTGAATTGTATTAAATAGGCTAGAAATTTAAGCACAAGAAAGTTCTCATCAAGCAGAAAGAAAAAAGGATTGGGGCGAACAGGAAAATGACTGGTAAAGTGGGCAATGAATCAAAACTGGGAAAAGGGAAGGATAAACAGGGAGACAGACAGCAGTGAATGATGGAGATCAAGATGCTGTGAAAGGGACAAGATATGAAAACAAAATAAGCAAGAAGGAAAACCGGAACAATGACAGAAAAGATAGAGATTGTAGAACTGAAGTAAATGCTGAGTTCCTCAAAAGCTAATGAGACCTTACTGAAATTGTCATCAGAAACAGGAAGCTTAAAAAGAGGAGCCTTTCGAAACAATAGGACGTGGTGGCATTGTGTATTTAACATAAAATCCAAAATACTTATTTACTAAATGTTGAGATTTTATTCCAGTTAATATAAAATTTAATTAAAATAGCATGTCCTTTGAGAAGTGTCTGTCTCCTTTTGTATTGCTCCTCTGAAAGTCTACCAGATTTATATATTCTTTTTATAGAGTTTAAATAAAATCTAACTTCCGGAACAGACTGGAGCTTCTGCATAAAACTAAACATGTTTAGATCATCTTTAAAGCCAAGAGTTACCTCTTCTGCTGACATGCAGCTGTCTGAGACCTGGTCACCTTTGACTGCAGTTTGGCAGTTTTATTATAAATGTTCAGTAACTGGTATTGTTACTGAAAACCAGATTAATTGTAAACTTACTTCAGGATCTCATGGGAATCGTGCCTTGCTCAGAAATTTGGCCCTTCAGAGGGAAGTGGATGCTTATCTCCTGGGGTCAGTTAGACTGGAATAGCTGCATTCAGCTGCATGAAGTTAATTCAATTGCCTACAGATCCTGGTTCAGTTGGAAGCTTTTTTTATCCTATGAGCTTCATTTTCAGACCACAACTGATTTTGCTGCTCTCCCCAATGCCCAGCAACACAGCAGACAGTCAATAGAATAGCATAGCTTCATCCACTTCAGAGTTAATTTAAACGGGAATTAATATTTTTTCAGCCCTCAGATATCTTCCTAAAGTAGACTACACCACAGAAATCACATTTTGGCATCTAGGTACAGCCTTCATAGTAAGGATCAAGAAAAAAATTGAGCTTAGGGCTTGTTAGGAAGTTACTGACGAGATATGGAGTAATTTAAACAATTGAATCAAGACTCCTCCATAATGCTGAGTAAGCCTTAATATTTTTACTAAAGAAATAACCACCATTTTAGGTTGGCAAGTGTTCTAAGTGACTTCAGGGATCAGATACAGATTCATCGGAAGTGGACAGAAGCACAGTTGACACGGTCTGAAGAAGATCAAGCCCAGCAGAGGCATCAGCTGCATGACTTGGCGAAGGAAAGACTGGTAAGAGTTTCCAAGAGGGTGGCACAGGGTGGTTTGCAGCCCTGCCAGGAGTGGGAGTGAGGAACACCGCTCCTATCACCTTGATCCCAGCAGGTACCAAATCATGCACACAAAATACAAGATCTAACACAAAACTGGGTTCCTCAGGACATAGCCAGCAAAATGGTGAGTTATGAAAATCATGTAATCATGGGTTAATTTGGTTTGGAAGGGATATCTGGAAGTCATAAGGTTCAACTCCTCAGTCAAACAGAGCCAGCATCAAAGTCAGGGCTTGAGTCTCACCCCGGAGATTTTTTTTTCCAAGGATGGAGATCCCATAGTGCTATGGGCATCCCAGATATAAAGTCTTCCGTGACTGTGGCTGCCCCATCGTTGGCAGTGTTCAAGGCCAGGTTGGACAGGGTTTGGAGCAACCTGGTCTAGTAGAAGGTGTCCCTGATAGTCTTTAAGGTCCCTTCCAACCCAAACCATTCTGTGATTCTATGATAATGGCACCACCTCACATCTGTGCAACCCTGCTGTACCCAACAATGGCTTTTTCTAGCTCCAAGGTGAGCATCGGTGCCACCACTGAATGTCACCCAGCTCCATTCATTGACAAGCTCATATCATCTCTTCAAGTTCTGCCTGCTTTTAAATATAGACAAACCCTCACAATCTTCTGGTCAGTACTTTAAAACGCAGCTCGCTTTGGTTCCACAGCAGCAGTTCACACTTGGCACAGGACCAATGCCTTGTAATGAATTCCTTCAGTTTTTAAAGCTTTTACTTCTTTGCTGTGTGCAGCTTCAGAGTTCAAAAGTGACCTAAGCATAATCACCATGTCTTAGCACCAGGATGAAGGCTGCTGATCAAAGACCAGATTCATAAGTCACTTGGAACTACAACGCTCCTGAACTTTAATCTCCATTTATTCTACCTGATGGTGATCTATTGTACTCAAAGCAATCAGGATTTAGTGCAGCCATGAAGATAATAAAAACATTTCTGACTTGCCAGCCACTATCTCAAAATTTCAAAGTTTGAATTCTCTTCCTCCACTAGTCGTTTTTGTGATTAGTTTTCAAAAACACACCAATATATGTGGTTATTCTTTCCTAATGGAGACTAGTGTGCCAAAAAAATACAGTGTTAATGGGAGTTAAAAATTTCAAAACCACTCTTAAATAGGTTGAATAAGAAATGCATTTGTTCTTCTATGGGCACATACATGTACACAGGCGCATGCATGGTGGTCCTCTGGGTGTCCTCTCAGTGGAGGCACAGCTCAGTCCCCTGGTAGCCAAAGGAAACCTCAGCACAAACGCTGGACAACACACAATCCTCATGTAGCTGGTGGACCTGATCGGGTATGTGATGGTGATGGAGCTGTTCTGGGAGTGCACAGCAGCATCTTGGTCATTCCTGGAGCTGACTCACTCCATCAGCCACCAACACAGCAATGTCTGTAAACTCAGAGTGTGTTCCACCGCCATACTGAATTGTGTTTAGGTTCAGACAGCTGTGCCAGGTTTGCAGACACCTTCCTTTGGAGGCAGAGCCATTGCATTTTACAGGGCTTAGCCTCCTTATTCATGCCAGCAGCTGAGCTGGGTTTACACCACAGTGTTACACCCCTTAGCTCAGAAAGCTTGAGCTGGAGATGGGTGCATGAAAGCAATCTGAATCATGTTGCAAAACGTGACAACAAATCACTGGATTTAAATGAATAAAAGAATAAAGTAATAATTAGAAAACATCTTTGTCCTGGCACAGCCCAAATTTCTCAGTTTATTTGGTTTGTTGGGGAAGAGAGGACTGACACATCCTACAGAATACCAGGCCTCGCCCACATTTACTCAGTGCTGTTATGCATGGGATTAGGAAGCAAGACTGAATGAATGCTTTGTTGGCAGGAGGCAGGTTAATGTGGGTGCAGGTAAAGTGTCTTACTATAAACCTGTTACGTATTTAAAGGAAAGAGCAGAAAAAAAGAGTAGAAGAAAAGCTCCTATTTCTGTCACTAAAGTTAGAACAAATGGATAAACCACAGAAGTATGAAAAGCAGTTGAATCAGATGATAAGTGATGAGAAAAACCTGCATGAAAGACTCACCAGATTTGAAAGACAGATCTGGAAGGAGACTGAGGAAATCCAAAATGAATACAGATCAGGTGAGGATGGGCTTACACGCAACTTATTTTTAAAATAAATTTCCTCAGTAACTTGCTGCACCAGAAGGTACTTTCTAGTAAAGACAGAAAGACATTAAAATTAGTATTTGTCTCTCCCAAACCCCAAACATAGAGGTGTGTGAGTTAGCTCACTTGTCTTTGCAAACAGCCAGCATGACATCTGCACACAGGTTGCTTTTCTTCCTAAGAGTCTCAAGGTAAGACCATTTAAAAGGCTGTTTCGGAACCTGTTTTCTGGATTTTTTACAGCAACTATTTCTTCTGTTAGCAAGGTCCCTAACCTCTGTTGGAAGACTCAAGTCATTCCCTTTTGCACAGATCCTGCTGCTGAGCCTGTGTGATGGCTTTGTATCACGTCCATCCTATACTCCCCATTCTCAAGCAACAGTAGCTTTAAAAAAGAGGATTCTGGATCAGTTACAGCTGCCTGACAGAGACCATACTCAGTCAGGTAATTCGTTCGCTCACTTCCCCCCCCCCCCTTATTGCCCTCCCCCTACTCCCGGAGGGACGGAGAGGAGAATCAAAAAGAATGCAACTCCCACGGGTTGAGATAAGAACAGTTTAGTAACTAAGGTATAACACAAATCACTACTGCTACCACCAGTGATAATAATGATAAAGGAAATAACAAGGGAAGAGAATACATCATCTCACCACCAGCCGACCGATAACTCGCCCCCCCAGCCCGACCAAGCTCTGACCGATACCTCCTCCAACCCTGCAGTCTCCCAGCCCTTCCGGCTAACTCCCAGTCACCTCCGGGGCATGACGTGCTGTGGTATGGAATACCTCTTTGGCTAACTTGGGTCAGGTGTCCTGTCTCTGCTTCCTCCCGGCTTCCCCTCCTCCCTGGCAGAGCATGAGGCTCACAAAGTCCTTGGCCAAACCTAAACATCACTATCAGCTCTGTTCCCAAGCTGAAAGTCAAAACACTGCACTGCACCAGCTACCAAGGAGGAGAAAAATGACTGCTACTGCTGAACCCAGGACATTATCCACCCCTTATTCCATACCATTCACGTCATACTCAGATCCCACATTTTCAATATACCATCACTCTTATCTTAGTGCACTCTTATCTTAGTGCATGGACCAGTCCCTATAAAGCTGCTGAGTCCATCTGGTCCATGATGTCAGGCTCCATCTCTTGTAACAGTCTTCCAGAGCAGGAGAGACTGTGTGCAGTGTTCACACTCGTGAATAACCTGGGCAATAGTGTCCATTGCTAAGTCCACCCCTCGATCATGAGTCCATCTCTGTGTTGCATCTTTGCTCTGATGGCCTGAAGTGCCATGGGCCCACCAGGCTTAAAATAATTCACTGTCCCCTTCAGCAGTTTCTGCAACTTGTTGCTGGGGACTCCATACAGCTGCCTTCCATCTCCAATGCTTCCAAAGCACTGGAGGGGCCCAGTGGACTAGATACTTGCCCATACTGTCCCACACACCCTGCCACTCATGACTGTCCAGCTTTGGGGAAAATCTCTTGGTCCCCCCATATCGTCGTCTAACCCTAGACAAGACCCAAACCTGACTCTGCTTAACTTTTGAGATCAGACAAAATGGTGGTGGGTAGAACACAGTCTGTGTGTGTGCCAACATGCTGATCCCCATCACAATCAGCAGGCAGGTCCCAAGGACACTCAAAGGCCATTCAAAACCTTCAGAACTCTCACACGATGCTGCTGTACTTGTCACTGGGGCTGGTGTAGCTGCTGTGCTTGCCGGCACTCCCACCGCCAGCTTCTCTTTTCCTGAGTCCAGCTCTTCCTCCTCTGCCTTGCTGGGAAATGCTGCGTGGTCTCCTGCATCCTCCTGGGGCTCGGCGGGCGGCTTCCGGGAAACGCTCTCGGCCGTCGCGGGCCTGGGCTCGGCGGCGGGGCTCGGCTCGGCCGCGGGGCTCGGCTCCTCCGCGGGGCTCGGCTCCTCCGCGGGGCTCGGCTCCTCCGCGGGGCTCGGCTCCTCCGCCGCCTTTTCCCACTGCTCGGCAGCCGCTTCCTTCCTCTCCTCGACCGCCCCGACCTCCTCCACCGGCACCCGTCCCCTCGCGGCCTCCGGCCCCGCTCCCGCCGCCGCTTGGTCCCCGGGGCCGCTCTCCCGGGCCGGTTCGGCTGCCGCCGGCTCCCGGGGCCGCTCCCCCTCAGCTCCCCGCAGCCTCACGAAGATGGAGAGTAGGGTGAGGGCCAGGACGGTGAAGAGCAGCCGGACGGCCAGGTACAAGTCCACGGCCACGTCCGTCCCGCCCTGCTGCTGGAGCCCGCCCGTATTACAAGCCATTGCCATAAAGCACAGTGAGACAAGAACCTTAGCCCAAGCCCCATACTTGATAAACACTATCACAGCAAATACCGGCTCTACGTAAGTTACAACATTCTGAAGCTGTGAGATCAACAAGAACAACTCTGAGAGCCAATAAATCGTCATTGTGATGAGTGGCTATTAATCCGGTCAGATCTGTCGTTATCTCAACCCTTCGTGCCCCACGTTGGGCGCCAAAAAGAACTGTCGTGGTTTAAACCCAGTCAGGTAATTCGTTCGCTCACTTCCCCCCCCCCCCTTATTGCCCTCCCCCTACTCCCGGAGGGACGGAGAGGAGAATCAAAAAGAATGCAACTCCCACGGGTTGAGATAAGAACAGTTTAGTAACTAAGGTATAACACAAATCACTACTGCTACCACCAGTGATAATAATGATAAAGGAAATAACAAGGGAAGAGAATACATCATCTCACCACCAGCCGACCGATAACTCGCCCCCCCAGCCCGACCAAGCTCTGACCGATACCTCCTCCAACCCTGCAGACTCCCAGCCCTTCCGGCTCACTCCCAGTTACATCCTGGGCATGACGTGCTGTGGTATGGAATACCTCTTTGGTCAGTTTGGGTCAGGTATCCTGTCTCTGCTTCCTCCTGGCTTCCCCTCCTCCCTGGCAGAGCATGAGGCTCACAAAGTCCTTGGCCAAACCAAAACATCGCTTGTTATCAGCTCCGTTCCCGAGCTGAAAGTCAAAACATTGCACTGCACCAGCTACCAAGAAGGGGAAAAATGACTGCTACTGCTGAACCCAGGACACTTGTGCAAGCAGATATGGAAGTGGTCGGATAGCATTGCTGAAAACACAGCAGCTGCCTCTTATGGGAACAGTCAAAGAAATCTATCTTACAGAGCATGAACTACTTTATCAGTCAGATGATCAACTTTCAACAGCAATGAGAAAGGCTTTCACCTGGCACTAAGCACATGGACTTCTCAAGGAGGACTTTTGCTCATTATAATCCATCCTCTGTCACTCAAACCTAACCTCTTGTAATACCCCCCCTTTGCAATTGATCATGGAAACATCAGCTTACCCAGGTAAAAATCACTCAGACCCTCTCTCCAAGGGAACAGATGGCTGAAATTCATTACACTAGGGTTTCGCATCTTACATGCTCCCGCTTGAAACTCAAGCATCTGGTTCTCATCTCCCAAGATGGCTGTGATCAAGGACTCCTTACTTCAACTCTAATTCCTTCATCATGTTCAACCCACCTATGAGCACTGCTCCAAAGCTGTAGCAAACCAAGCTCTAAATTAGCTAAGGTCTTTGTGCAACTTGACAGAAAGGTGAGGCTTGGCTGGTATGAGACCATGCGAGTAAGCCCCAGATAAGGCCTCAAAGAAAGCTGTGGCTAAGAAAATTAGGAATAAAGGAGAGAGAGTGCTTAACTTCAAATTCCTACCTGCAGAAATTAAGGACAGGAGAGATCTGTTTATATCACACTTTGGCCATGCTTGTGTTTAAACTCAAGCACAAGGACTGCTCTTTCCTATGGCAGTCCTCTGTAGCAGGGGCTGACCCCTAGAAAGGGGCAAAAGAGGCCACTGAATAGATGTGGAGCAGCATGAAGGGCACAGAGGCAGCGTCTAGGCTCTCTCAGCAGCTGTTAGTGCGCAGGTTGGCTTCCTGGAGGTTAGAGACAGGTTTGGAATTCATAAAATTCTAAGCACTATGAAGCAATTTGATTGAATGCTACTGAGACAAAATTAATCCACATTAAAGCACCATAAAGAAAAACATGTCATCAGCTACCATGTTACAATAAGCACTGTAAGAAAAAAAAAAAGAGGAAGAGAATTAATTTTAATCCACTGTTAGGCAGCTTGCTGGCTAATAAGTTAACACCTATGTGACACGCTAAATAAATGTAAGTAACTACTATGCTGCAATTTGAAAGTTACCTCAGTCTGGAATCAGCTAGGTAACAGCATCTTACATTCTGCTTTTACAGGTTTTATTGATGATATTTAATGGAACACTGGTCCAAAAAAAGGTGCATCAGGTGCTGTGTAGCTCTGTTTTGCAAAAGAATTGTGTGTGCACACCACCACCTCTCTCTTTTTATACACCAATTAAAAAAAACACTTAAAAACCCCTCAAACCAAACAAAAAAACCCCAATCCTTAATGGAAAAAAAAAAAATACACTTCAAAAGCTGACAATACCATTGGTTTTAAAGACAGATAGTGTTTTCTTTCCTCCACACCACAAACCTGACGTCAAATGCTGTTTACTGCTATTTATAATCATGCTTGGCATTATCCAAACTATTGGAAGATACCATTCCAACAGCAAGGAACTTGCAACCCAAGCTGCTAATGCATGTCTCTGGTACTCAATAAAATTATGAAACAGAGTGGATTTAATGCGCTCTGTGTTAAACAAGGGTCCGAACCCTTTGCAAAGGAAAGAATCTTCAAATATGGTGAAAGCAACCACTATTAAATTAATTGTTCCTACTCTTCTACCAGGATTTCAATCTATTCATGAGTCTCTGGAGCTGCTCAGAAAAATACACAACACAAAACTGAAACTAGAAAAAAGGAAAATCCATAAAGACATGAAAAAGGTACAACAGAAGTGACCTGGAAGACTGAACACCATGAGCAAGTCTATAATAACAGCTCTGATATATAGCTTCTCAACAGTCATTTTCTTGCCAATTTTACAACAGAATACTTTGCTGTGGAAGTAGCTAAGGTGAGATGATGTATTCTCTTCCCTTGTTATTTCCTTTATCATTATTATCATTGGTGGTAGCAGTAGTGATTTGTGTTATACCTTAGTTACTAAACTGTTCTTATCTCAACCTGTGGGAGTTGCATTCTTTTCGATTCTCCTCTCCGTCCCTCCGAGAGCAGGGGGAGGGCAGAAAGGGGGGGGGGAAGTGAGCGAACGAATTACCTGACTGGGTTTAAACCATGACAGAGAGGTTAAGTTTTAAGGATTAACTTAAAATTTTACAGACATTTCATACAAAAAATATTCATATTATCTAAAGGACTTTAAGCAAACGAGTCCTCAGCATGGTTACCAGTCCTGCCTTAAGCTGCACCAGTTTTAGATTGCTGTAAATATTTAAATCAGGCCTAGTAAATTCGTCTAACCCCACACAGCATTATCAATACTGATGTCAGACTATTTACTGATGCATGATTTGGACCTACTATAGTAATTTACTGAACCATTAAAAGTAGCCAATAAATTGTGTATAGGTGACAAAATGCATGTTAATTACTAGCATATGCATTATTAAAAAGGTTTATTTCTTGTCTACTCTGTTTGAATATAAGCTAGTGGTGGTTTGTACTAGAATACTCAGAAATGTAACTGACACCGTGGGTTTTGTTTAGCTTCAAACAACAAGAAAAAACACCTGGAAATAAGGAGGAAAACTCTGGGAGTAGTGAAAAAGTAACATACCACTCTAATTTCCCAACAGAGGCTAACATGAGTTCTTTAGCAGGGAGGTCAAAAAAGGTGGTTATAGTGCAATTGCACTAGAAGTCTGAATTTCTACTGTACATTTGTTTCCAGAAAGCCCAATACTGTCCACTGCCCAAAGAAAATCCAAGCGAACTCAGATAATCCTCCTGCAATAATCAGTACCTCAAGTCTCCTGTGCTTCTTGCTCTACAGCAAAGCAGATTTCTCCAGCTATGGATTGCAGGTGGCTTGTGAGGAGCCAGACCTGCAGAGCACAACAGCTGAAACTGAACTGATGCAGTCAGTAGGGAATACCACTTCAGCAATTAATCATGCTGCTCCTGCAGGCAGCAACTTTGATATGTTTCAGCTTTTTCCAGCAAATAAGAAGTGTAAGAACTTGCTTGTGTTTTGTAGATGACAAAAGTGCAACCACCAGGTTTCACAGGTGACCTTCCTGCATTCTGCTGGTGGCCAGGTTCTTTGGAGCTGAACTCCATGGGTCTTTTGCCTTAACCCCCGACTCATGACTGTTGCTAGCCAGGCCTGTGTTTGCCACACTTCCCACCAGCTACAAGAAACCAGCAACACTGAAATCCCAACAACAAGGAGCAGTTTCTGAGCTATGCCAAGTCTGTATTTCAGATTCCCTGCATGTTCTCTCCATTACAGTGCGCTCTGCCTCCACTGTAGACTGAAAGTTCATTGTGCCACCATGGCAAGACAACGGGGCTTGAATGCAGCCTCCCAGACTGCCATTCTCTAGCTCCTTTTAGGCACTTTCACCATTTTTTGCCCATTTACTTGGCTGCCAGTGAAGCAGCAGTTAGTGGTGTGGTGTGGTTTGCCTCCCCACCAACTACCTCGGTGCTCCTGTTCTCTGTATACTGAGGAGCAGCAAAAAAGTGAAATACAAGGTTATTTACGAATGTGCTTCTGAAAGCAAGCCAGGACAACCTTCAGAGTATTGCTGCACATTTTCTATCTATCTATCTGGCAGTCTGGCACAACCAGATGTTGCTTTAAGTGAGAATGTTGCTTTGTACGATTATAGCAGAAAGGTTGGAGTGTCTAATTATGAATTCAGATACACACAAATATATATATTTGGAATGTTGCTATTGTTTGAGTGACTTCACAGCATGAAGGCATTATCTCAGTATTTATGACTCCACGCTGCAGCCAAACTCTATCCCTCTCACCCTTGAGAACACTAAATTCAAGTCAGTTAAATATCAGCAGTTCAATTAAATTAGAAGAAAGCAAAATAATTGGGAAGGAAGGAAAGCTAAATTCTAGACATCTAGGATGCTAGATTAGGGATGTGCTTTCCCTTGCAACAGTGCATTTGTGCAGAATGAAAATAGTTCTCAAGGATTTTATATCTGTGAATTTATATATTTTCAAAAAATATAAAAGGTGTCAAACAAAAGTATTGGGGAGACAGAAATATACATCTGTGTTTCTGTTAAACTCTAAGGAAGAATTAATGCAGTTACTCACTGTACTTCATGGTACCACTTTGAGAAGCTCAAAAATTGGGTAGAAATCCAGCAATTCTTAGGAAATACAGAAAATAAGATGAACATGCATGACCCTAAAATAAACGACAATTCTCAGAAGCAAACCCTTGTCTCATGTTTGTATAAAAGTAAATGTAAGTAGTATCACCTTCATGTCTGAAGTAGCAAAAATTTCTACCTTGAAATTAATTAGATCTAATTCCATTCTGCCTTCAGCATAAGACAACATAAAAGAAATTACAGCTTGGGAATGTTCCCCCCCCACACCCCTTTGCAGTCATAGCAGTTGCACATATAACTTCCCAGGCAGTGAAATCCATAAACAACTCTCAGCTACCCAATTTAGTGATGCTTAGGTGCCTTCGTACAGTACTTTCCATTCTAAATCTGAGCTCTACAGTTGTATAAAATACAGGGCTGCTTCAATCTGCATGAAACTGCTTGTTGTCTCAGTGTTACAGCAGACCTTCTACAAAGTGCAGATTTTGTAGAGGCTATGCAAGATTAAAAAATGAGGAGAGCAAGATTTTTAACTCATATTGTTGGATTTTACAGAAGCTTGAAATTTAAACCCGTGTTCCCTGAGTGCTTTTCACTGAGTAGAGGTACGTGGGTCTTTTTTTCTCTGCAGGGCAGAGGAGTTCAAGGAGTTCATCATTGATCACAATAAAAGTAACTTCACGGTCTTCTGAGGAAGAAAAACACTGCAGTATTCTATTTACTAATACAGACTATTCACAGTAGATAGTTACTTAGCTAGTTTCTTGGCCTGTTGTTACTTGCTTGTTCTCCAAGCTGTTAGAAAGTATTTAAAGCTTTGTGCTGAACAAAGCATGGGCTCATACTCATGCAGAAGCACTTCTGCCTATCACATTAACAAGGGCAGGCAGCTGCTTACCACGCTGTGGTCAGGCTGGTGATGGTGGCTCTTCCACCACTGCAGTAGGACACACAAACTTCTAGACCATATGCCAAGGACACAAACTAGAGGCTGTAAGAACTTTACCAGGCTTTTAATAGCAGCAAGCTAAAAAAAGTTACAGCTAGTCTAGAATCACGAGTCTGGTGTTCGCAACATCCCCTTTTGGTGTCTGCAGTTACTGATAGTTCAAGACTACATGATAGCAGCCCGCAAAGGGAACCAAAACTGACCTAAATTTAACAAGAAAAAATCTTTTTAAGGAAGGTACTTTGCCCTATGACGGGTGGGAGAACTGAGAGAGTGTGGAAGACCAGGAGGGATTCCTGCCATTCAGAGAGGTTTCTACTCTCCTCCACAGAGAAGAAACCCCAGCCATTTCCTCTTCAAAGTGGCAGTGTCACACTTGTGTCTCTCACCCACTTTACAGTGATCCCTGTGCATGGATGGTCTCAAAGATGCACACCCCACACACCCCAGCTTGGCAGCCTCTTCTCTTTAAGCCCTATACAACTGGTCCCAAGACCAAGTGAGAGTATGTTCAATGCAATCTCACTACTCACCTTGGAAGCTCCCCTTGTCTCTATGATAAGGGATTGTCTGGACAGCTATCAAGATCAACAGCTTGAAAAGCCTAATGGTAACATTAACAGATTAGAGTCATTGCTTTGTTTCTTTTATTTCATGTACAGAAAGGCAAAATAACATAACATCTGAAGAACCACTGGCACGATTCATCCAATTAAGCAGTCAGCAGCGAATCACCAAGACATAAACAGAGCCTGTTATACACATTTGTAAATATGACCCTGTCCCTGATGATCACAAGCTTTTCTTGATGGGAATGTTTACTGAAGCCTGCAGTCAAGAGGATACACTACTAAAAATTAACTAAATATATATTTAAAAAGTATAATGAAGTTCCAAGTGGATTTGGGTCTCAACTACAGAACAAAGTATAACAGACAGACATTTTAAATCTTTCAGTGTTTTACAATATCTGTAAGAAAAGTTTGCTGCTACCTGGCTAGTAAAATTCTGTTCCAAGAAAAACTTGTATTTAATACTGTACTTCTGTGTGTCGCAAAGGGGGGAAATACATATGAGTACTCTCCACTGTGAATAGTGCTGAAGTTCTAGTGAGGAAGAAAACAAAAGCAAAATTTGGAATTTTTCTTTCAAATAAAGAATATTTTTTATGGTGGAACCTCTCATGTCAACAGGAAAATAACCCATTTTTTTCAAGAAAAAGTGAAACTAAAGACAAAGTTGTAGTTGGTGCAATGGGGAAAAAAAAACACAACCGACAAAACTGACACAAATAAAAAATCCAAAACAACATAAGGTCTTGGAAGACTGACTATTAAGTTGCATGAATGGAAGACTTTTCACTTGACGTAGTCCATACTAGGCACTTGCTGACAATTTCTCATTTAGTTCCAGAGCTCTAACATCTCCGTTGGCTTTGGCATTTTCTATAAGCACCTACAGAGAAAAACAAACAGTGAAAAATGAAGAATTTCATATTTTGCTGTTAGTATTTTACTGTCAATCTCAAATGCATTTTAATTTCTGCTATGCCATCTCCCTAAAAGACTAAGCAGCCCATAAGCACAGATAGGAAATACTCAACGCGACAAACCAGCTTGCTTAAAACATCAGGCACCTAAACCCCCCTACTTTGTACTGACTTGCTAAACCGGTTGTCACTTGTGATTCATCTGTTACTTGAGGCTGAGACCAACTTCCATAAGTTACCTGCTGGCAATGAAAAGAGCAGAGTCAGGTGACACCTGTCTCCCTGCTGACATATACTTGCCTCTTGCTATGCACTTGCTCTTGATTTTGTCTGTATAAATCTCAATTTGCCAAACAGGAGCATTCTATGCAGCTACTTAAAACTGTCAAAGTAGTGTTTTGCCTCCTCCATTTAGATTTAACTTTCCTTGGTTTATTTTTACGCCCCCCCCCCCCCCCCCCCATTTGCTGCTTTTCTACACGTTAAAAAAGCTCCTATGACAGCCTAATGTTCATAAGCTTCTGGCACTTCTCTTGTAATCCAATCACATTATACATATGAAAAAGGAAAACCACTAAGTAGAATCAAGTAAGACTTTACTCTAGCCATTACTGTTATAATACTAATTGGTGGGGAGTACAGATGATTTTGCAGAAGCAAATGCAATGAGATCATACCAGGATCATACACACTCATTAATTCTAGCTTTTTTATGAATCCCTGTGTGTATGCATTGATTTTTGTGAACTCTGAGCCTACCCCCTCCAAACGTATTTTGTTACAGAGTCATAGTTTCACCAGGGAACTGTTGTTAATCTGGGCGAAAGAGCTCACTGTGCCAGTGGCAGCAGTGAGGATATTAGCAGGATGACAGCAGAGTGTTATTAGCAAAGTGATTCTAATTAGAAGCCCAAATGAACTACCATATCACATGAAAGACCTCTGTGCATTTGTGAAGTACTGTCAACAGAAACTAATGAACCATTAACTATGTGCTGAAAATAATGCACTATTACAGATATAACAAAAATCTTAAGTACAGAAAGTACAGCACACCACTGTTCAGTTTTTTTAAGACAAGGATGCCACATTGCTCAAGCCAGGCTTGAGGGAATTACTGGTTTTAGTGCATTAATACATTCTGATAAAATTCTGATAAAAAGGTCCTTGTGTCTACCAACAAGCCACTAGCAGAATTTTTGCCAGTCTGGATTAGAGATTTTACTGTTTGTTTTCTGTTAGTAT